AAAAAAAACAGGTGAAGCGTGAGAAGGGACAGACAAAACCGCAAAAATTGGTGCAGCAATTAGATGGGAAGCTCAAAGAAAAGCAGACGGATACACAGAGAATTGATAGTTGGGAAGACACATAAGTATGTGGGCTGAAGACTGGGAGAGAACGGAACAGATATAGAGCGAAAATAGAAGTCAAAGGTGCATAAAAGCAGAGACATAGTATAAGATAGAGAAAAGACAAAACACTGAGGAAAGCAGAACAATTAAGTTAAAAAAAAAAGAGGAATAGCTCGAACAAAGAAGATGTAAGGGATCGATCCTGGAAGTGAGGGAGAAAGGCGGAAATGAAAGTGTATATTGTGGGAAAGATAGATAAAGAAATGTCAAAAAAAGACGAGAAAGGAAGAAATTTATAAAATATAGACTCAGAAAAGATGCTAACAAGGCTTACCCCAATCTGTGGACTGTGGAAACCAAAACCCAAAGAATGAAGAAATAGTGGGAACACACTGAGCCTCATTCTTGTGGGTTATAATAAAAAATCACATTGAGAGGTCGTACAAACCTTTCGAAATTCAAAAATGTAAATTTCAAACTAATGACTACTTGTAAATTTACAGATCTGTAGGCTCGAAAAAGATTCTTTAACTCACGTGGGATTTCTCGATGACTTTAAGAATTTCGTTGAAGTAGACGATAGACATAGCCTTTTAAGGCTCGCCGCTTCCTGCCGCCCTGAAGAGAGTAAAAGCGAGTCGAAAGCCGGACGCTGCGCTGACGGCGCATAGCCCCCGCACGATTACGAAACTGTTCTTGGGTCATAACATTGCAAGAAACGTTAGATAAGGGGTACACAGGCCATATTCAAACGAATACAGAACTCTTTTATCTCAAAGCAAGTCTTAGCAATGTCGCCATTTTGCGTTATACAAAAAAACCCATGCAATGTAACATCTCAACAAGCTCTACACTGAGCCTAATTGGAAATTGAAAAAAACCTTCTGACGAAATGCAGCAGATATCCAGGAATCACACACAAGAAAAGTCGACCAGGGCATTTGACTTTTGCAATTGCAGTTAATTTCGAAAATGTTGCAACAAATCCCGTAATTTTCAAATACCATTTCGTAGATTTTACGGTGCTAAGTGGGTTGGGGGGGGACCACGCGGCGCGGCACCCTGCGCTCTCCAGCGAGATAGTAGTGGGC